TATATATATATACATGCCTATGTACGCTCCTCATACTCTCTATTTGCTCACGAATAATATATTTAATGCAATAGTTATCGTACATAGCCTGTAATTAGTTTGCATTTCGTCTATAAATATTTTCACAAAAGCCGCATACTATTTATATTGAAATATTTTTATTTATTTTTGGTTTCACACAAAGTTATTTGAGTTTTATTTCGCGAATACCTTCGCATAATTAATTTCAAAATTAATTGTCTGAAAGTGAAATACAAAATTGAATGCAAATTGATTCTGCAACTGTTACATATTATTGCTATTAGTTTTCCCAATATTTATTAATTATGATTTATATAATTTGTAAAACATCTCTACAACCAAAACTTTCGCTAACTGACAACAAACTTCTATTTTCTCTTTTTCTCTGTAGATGGTCACGCCTGATGCTCTATTTACCCTCTTTGGTACGTCTGCACAAAACTAAAACAAAAATCAAATACAGTATACCTTATTTATATAAATTTTAGATATACTTTAGCTATATATTATAATACAATATATTATTAAGTAATCAGTATATGTATGTGTATGTGGCTCAGCTAGGCAAAGTGCAAGGCAAATTCTACAAATGCATCCAATCTTTCGTTCTCTCGGCTTCTCTCTACTCTACTCTACACTCACACTCTGACCCCTTCATCTCCTGCCTTGCCCCCTAGCTGCCTGGCTGTGCCACTGCCAACTTCTTCTTAGCCACAAATGTAATTCTTGACCACTTTATTAGTAGAACACACTTGTTTATTCATTGAATTTAGACCCCGTAGGAAAGTTGAAAATTGCTGACAGCTAGACACACATTGTAGTAGCTGCAGCTGCTGTTCCGGGCCCTAACTGCTATCCCTGGGCGTGAATCGCTGGCGTACTTCCGTTTTAAATTCACGCCATCTACGTGCAATCAGGAAAAGTGCTATGAATTATTTATGCACACACAGTGAAAAGTCACAGAATTGCGTGGGTGAACAACAACAAAAATGGCAAAACAATGCCGAGAATATTGAAAACAATTGCTTTAAATATTAGATGAAACACTACTAAACTAGCTAAGAGCAAACTCAGTTAAGTTATCAGTGAAGCGAGCTTGAATATCAAGCTGTTTCCATTTAAGAATCGCATTGCATCTATAATCCTGAGGAGATCAGTCGCGGTCAGATCATATAGAAATGGCTTTGTATTTTATAACAATCCAAGTGGTTAGCAAAATAAAGACCCAAGTGTGCATAAAACCCATAGCCAGAGCTGCAAGCACTTGCAATAGCAGCAGCGGAAATGCGCATTAAATAACAACACACAAATGCTGTTGCTGCAATTCCTTTCCATATATATATATATATATATTTATCGTATTGCAAGCACACTTCAAATGGCTTTCTAATAGCTTTTTGCCTCGAGCATGCAGCAAATCCATCAGCTTGAAATTGAAATAGTCTAAAGCGTTATCTGTAGATGGTGGACGACTGAACAACAGCAACAATAACTATCCAGAGATGGAAGAGAGAGAGAGAGAGAGAGAGAGAGAGGTGGGGCAGGTGGAGAAGGAAAGGCAGCAACAGTTGCATATGCAGAGGCTGCCTGCTGGCAGTTATCCTGTCATAAGTTGTGCTTACAAATTGTAAAACAATGAAAATGAAAATATATGCACTTGCATAAATCTACACTAACCATACACACACACGCACACGCACACATACGAGAGCATAAAAAAAACCACACATACACACACATATTCAGTGGCAAACGGGCAACAAGTGAAACCGCACTCAGGCACACACTTGAACAGCATCCTGTTGCTCCTTGGCTGTCGTTGTCGTTGTCTGCGACATGCTCGTGTGCATGTAAAATTACATGAATTAAGTGCGCTCCGCTCCGTGCACCACCAGCCAACGCCTGCTGCACCCATGTCGCGTGACCACCCGCCCGATCGCCCGCCAACCCACCCGATCCATCCGAGCCACGGCAACAGTTGCCCATTGTTATACAAGTAAGCGGCTCGCTCTCAGCTCTACAGATATATATGTATATGTATGTATGTATGTATGCGTGTATATATATAGAGGACACATGATTTAACTTTGCGCTCATCCTGCAACACACACACACACACACGGGCTCGCACAACAAAAGATTGAGTGCGGAAGTGCATAGCTATAAAAATGTCCATTTATTTAGTTATCATTGCGCCTGTTGTTGTTGTTGTTGTTGTTGTTGCTGCTGCTGCCATTGTGTGCGTGTGTGTGCTGTCTTGCTCACTCGCTCGCCCTGTCAAACTATATGCATATGTGTGTGCATTTTATACTCTCGCACACACACACACACACATGCTCAGCTTTTTGCTGGCTTTACAATTGAAATAAAATTTACTTGTGACTTTTCGTAGTTCGTTGTTTTGGATAGTTGAGTGGTTTGGAGAGGGACGCTGCGGTGGCTTTTTAGCTACGTTATTGTCTTCTTACTGCCTTTTTGTCGTCGGGCGTATGCGGCATGTCTGTTTGCTAAATGAATTTAACTAACTTTGTAAAGTTAATGGGGTTTGCTGTTTGAATTGCAACTTCAACTTCCCCTAGCCAGAAACGATTTTCTTTCTCTACCCATATGTGTGTGCTATGTGTGGGTGTGTGTGTGTGTGTGTGTGTGCGTTGCTTAACTATTTTATAGCATTTAGTTTTGACTTTTCACATGCGCTGCATCTAACATGCCCGAGGACAACAGACCTCGACTCGTGTGTCCTTTTATCTGTTTGTTTTATTTAATTACCAAAATACTTCGATTGTTGCCACAGTCTGCAGCACAGTGTTGTTGTTGCCAAGTGTGGCGCATAATTGCAGCATAATGGATTTGTTGCCACACAACACAAAATGGCGCTGCTGCCCTCTGCCAGGATGTCCTCTGCCAGGCTGCCCTCTGCCAGGCTGTAACGCATTTTTGTGCTGCAACAGCATAAAACGCACAAAACTTGGCAACCACAATAAACACACACACACACATACACTTGCATACATGCACAGATATATGCAGAACAATGTTAAGTCTGTTGTCGCCTTTGTCTCTGGTGTCACAAAACGGTTTGTTGTTGCGGCTTGTTTACCCACAGAGACATGTGTGCTGTCTCTCTATCTGTCTCTCTCTCTCTCTCCCTCTCTGTGTTGAGTCTCTGCCCTTTGTTTGCATGCAAATGCATTTAATTTGAGTTTAAATACCCAAATATAAACTTTTGACAAACACACGCAACCACAGTGCAAAAGGGCCACAGTGTAGACAGCGTGGAGCGGAGCCAACCGTCTGACTGTGGCTTAAACTGATTGTCTTCAAATACTCACACACACACACACGCACACACAGTCGCAGAGATTTGTGTGGTATTTATGTACAAATTGCATTGTATTCACTCTGTCAGCAATTCGGACTTATCGCTGATAAAGTAAACAAAAATTTGCCAAACGAATTAATTGCTTAAAAATGATTATTGCTTTTGTTGTGTGTCGTTCGTTGGCTATTGCGGGCCGTTATTGTTAGAGCCAGAGTAATGCAGTGCGGCCGCATAACCGCACGGAGCGTACAACTAGGGGCAGCTTAAAGCCACTGAGCCACACTAAATCCTATCAGCAGCTCGTTAGCCACAGTTAAGACTAACTGCAACCAGCAACTGCCAGCAGTTGGCTTTCTCCTGCCACTTGGCAGTTGGCAGTTGGCAGCTGGCAGCTGACTGCAGTGTGCTAATAAAGCTTCGATTGCTGATTTAACGCCAGCCGGACGACGATGGCCAGGCAGCGAACAAAGTCGAGCAGAGTGAAACGTAGGAGCCGTAGTAGAAAATTGTTAGATGTACGAGTATCATACGCCCCGTTGCACACAGCAGAAGCGAGAAATGTCGATAAGCTGAACGAACGCTCTAAAGCGTCTTAGTGCCTTGCCCACCCACCTGCTGGAGGGGGGGATGAGCTGGAAATGGCGTGCCAATAGATTTAGATAAACTCAGCAAGCGACATGACGGCTGTGCGGTCAGGCAGTCTAAGCGGCCAATCAACTAAATGGCAGCGCTAAAATTTTATGTAATAACTTTTGAATTTCCAAGTAGCTTGAGCGTGGGAAGCATGGCACACGAAGCTCCGCTGGCCAGGAGTGACACTCGAAGCAAATTATACGGCAAACAAACAGGCGATTGGCCCCTCACACACACACGCACACACACACTTGCACACACGTGAATGTGTGTAGAGCGCGCGCCATTTGTTATGTTAATGGCAGCCAGGTGTGCCAGCTGCTAAGCCACAATTTTCACACATGACGCGAACACCGAAGTCTGACGGCCAGGCTAAGGTAGCAATTTTTGCAATTCAATCGTGGGTCCCGCATCACAGGCGCTGCTGTTATTTTCGCTGCCACTGCTCCTGCTCCTCCTGCTGCTCCTGCTGCTCCTGCTGCTCCTTTTCTCTGCTAAGCTGTTTGCATATCAAATAATAAAAGTGGCATAAGCAAGGCTTGCAACGCCCCACGCAAATAGCGCACTTCAAACGCTTACGTTTACGTGTGTGTAGATTGATCCAAGTCAATCGGGAAGGGGGGGCAAAAGAGAGGAAGGCCCATTTTTAAGAGCTCAACCCTTTTGAATGCAGACATTTTATTAGTTTTGACAGCGCTTTGTTGTGTTTGTCCAGCCCCGACAGAGTCAATTGAGCCGGGGCGACCCGGTAGCAACCGGCTGTTGCCCTGCTCAATGTTACGATGTCTATGACACGCTCCTTAGACACTTGACACATGCTGCTTTCCATATGCCACATGCCACACGCCACATGCCACATGCCGCATGCCGCATGCCAGTTGGGCTGTCAGACATTTCTAATCGAAGCCCATTTCGGGCAGTGAAACTGTTGCCTATTTTTTGGGCCATTTACAGCTTTTGACCCTCATTTTGCATACACACAATAAAAACTTAATCAGTCTGCAAATCGTTTAGCATAACAGATTGAGATGCGTATGTGTGTGTACGTGTGTGTGTGCGTGTATATGTATTGATAATCGGCTTATGTAATTGCAATGGCGTGCTAAAAATTTATATCACTGCCGAAAATATTGTTGAAACGTGTTTAATTGAATTTTTATGAGCTCGCTGCGAACCGTGTGCGTGATTTTTGTTGGGCGCACAAATAATTTCATAAAATTTTATGTGCCACACTTAGCAGAGCAGTCGGACCCGCAGGTGTATGTGGGTGTGTGTGTGTGTGGGTGTGTGGGTGTGCCGTGACCGGAAAAAGGGCCAAATCATGTGCAAATCATTTCAATGAAAAGTTTTTCATAATTTAACAAGTTTCGTTTTACCAAAATGTTGAGCAACAGCTCAACGGAGCATTCGAAGTACTAAAACTACAATGGCTTTAAAACCGTGCGCCACTAACATTCGATTATTGAATTTTATTGCACAAATTTCATTGGCGAATTGCGGTCGAAAAGAGGGAGTTTATGAAAACTCCAGTTGAATTTCACTTAGCCTGATCACTGAAGTTTTCAGGCAGGCAAGTAAAAATTTGCATTAAACGACGGACAACTGCTATATTTTTTCATCAAAAATTTACGCTGAAGCGTACGACTAATGGGCCGCCGGGGAATCCGCCGGAGCGCCGGTGAAAGTATGCAAACATATTCAAAGTTAGCCGCATGGCTGTACAAATATAGCTAAATCTTTTTGCGATAATAAATTATTATAAAGTCTGACTGGCGAGCTGGCTGACTAGCCGGAGGCGGTCTGCCCTCAGCCACTTTGCATGGCAACCGGCTGACAGAGCCGCAGTGGCTCACACGCCCCGTCGGAATCAGACTGCTGCTGGATGCTCCTGCTGGCTGACTGGCTGACTGGCTGGCTGGCGGCCAGAGCCAGAGACTGGCGTTCAATATGCTCCATAGCCGATGCCTGGCAGCGCAGATATACGTCCGAGTAAGTTGGCTCGCTTGGCTTGGTTTATTGCTGCAATTGTTGCTACGCCAAGCCAATTTGAAGCAAACGAAATTTTTCGGTGTTTGGCATAAGTCAAGTTTCAGTTCACAGTTCTTTCTGGTTAGCTTGCGCTCTGTGCAGTCTGTGCAGCCAGCCAGTCGAGCAGCCAGTCGACTGTATAAAATGGATTTACTGCCAACTGTTGAACTATGTTCCCGCACTATTTACTACCTGCATTTCTATTGCTACTTTTGTAACTTGTTAGCGCTCCTCCCTGCCTGCCTCCCACTGCCCGGTTTTACTGCCACTGGTCTGCGAATGTGTTTTTTCCTTCTCTCTGTTTTAGGCGAGCGACGTTTTCGGGGGGAGTGCGGGGGTGTGGAGTTAGTTGAAAATTTACTTTTCGCATTATTCGATTTGTTGTCTTGGGCAACCGAGGGCGCCTGCACTTTACATTGTTTGCATTGGGTGTGGCTGGCAGCATCAGTACGGGGGGAGTGGGCAGGGGGAGTGGCAGTACGGTGCTGCGACCTTTTAGCTACGAGCTACGATCCAGCAACAACTATTTTTTATGCTTGATGGCAATTTGCGCCCTGCTGCAAATTTGCCGCTGATTGGCTACACACGGACTGCTGGTCAAGAGAGTTGCATAGGGTAATTGTGTGTGTGTGTATGTGTGTGTGTGTGCTCACCTCCGCCCCTGACAGCTGTCAAAGCAGAGTCCAACGGCCGGACTGCCGGACTGGAAGCAAATCGCTGGCAAATACTTTTGTTCAGCACTTAAAGCACCTTAAAGTTTCACTGGCTCAAGATGCTGCCGGAGCGAATGCATATTGCATATTTGGCGGAGTCTTGCCTTGCCGCGTAAGTAAAGCCATAAAATTCAATTCAATAACGCGGCCAGGTCCCCAGCTCCCCAGCGTCACACTTACACCTTGTCTGACAGCTGTAAAATCAGCCGCGTGTCGCAGCCTTAAAATGTATGCGGAGTGGAGCTCTGTGGAGCCAGCTTGTAGCCCGAGCTGAGGCTGAGGCTGAGGCTGCGGCTGAGGCTGAGTGTGGAGCTGCAGCCTCGAGGCTGGTCTGGGCAAAGCCATTGCCTGGAGTCGCTCGTAAAAAATAGCTGAGAAAACTTATTGAGCTAGTTATGAGTTTCGTACATGATACTAACGGCTTCGTTCCGGCAATAATACGAAGCAGCCTCTGGCTCTGGCACAGCATCAAGCGGCACCTGCTAGACGACAGCTAGGGGTGGCGGGGAGCAGCTGAGAAAACCATCTTGGTGCACGTTATGGCTTTTTGGTGGTGTATAAAACTTACGTTCTTTGACGGGAGGCAGCAACATTTGCGCGTTGCATAAAACGCTCCGCTCTTTCTTGCCTGTCCGAATTTTCGTGGCCCGCCATTCGCATTGAGCGGCGCTTAAGTCGCCTCTTATGGCCGCACTCTACTTTGTAGATTGCATCGTAGGAGCTGGCTCGAGTATTTATTAGTGCCTAAAGCACAGAGACTCGATATTTTTGGATATATTCATTAGACCCAGAGCAGCAGCAGCAACAGCAGCAGCAACAACAGCAACAGCAGCGGAAACTGTGGCAGCTGTGGCAGCTACAATGTGTGTTCCTAGGACAGTAAATAGTGGATTTTTGTATTAGTGTTAACGCTCTTTGCCACGTACTCTTAACGCCATTGCAATAAACTGAAAACCATATTAATAATGCCAACCATTTCGCAATTCACAGGTGTATACGGCGATGTGCAACGTGTAAAGATATTGTACAACAAAAAGGACTCGGCACTCATACAAATGGCAGAGCCGCAGCAAGCTTATTTGGGTAAGTCAAACATTCCGGAACAGACACGCCCTCACACGCCCCACACGCCCTACACGCCCTACGATCCGCCCCAAAAGTAATGAAAAATCTGCGCTCCTTTTCGGCGGTGAAAGGTGCATCAGCTGCCAAAGGGAAGAATAAAACCATGACAGCTTGCCATAACTGGGAGTGCCGTACGGGAGTATGCCCTGTAATGTAGAATCGCAAATAGAAAGAGAATATATCGGGTTGCTATATATATATAAAAGAAGTTAGACAAATATGTAATCAAAAAACTATATATATATATATATATGCAAAGCGCGCACAAACAGCCTTTGTCATGTGACACACAGTTACAGGGTATACAAACAAAAAATAAATGAAATACGAGCAAAGGCAGCGGCAGCGGCAATTGCAATTTGCAGCTTGTTTAAAATGAAAAATTCCAACATTAAATTCCAAACATTGCATATCTTTGGCAGCCATTGTTGGCCAATGTTGTTGCTGCTGTTGTGCAGCTGCAATTGCAGCAAACAAAATGTATTAATAATAAAAATTGTTAAAGCGAAAGAGATGGGCGCAATGCACAGATATGCACAGTTGAGTAGAGTAAAACAAGAGCAATGCGAGCAGAGCAGAGCAGAGCCAAGCCGAGCCGAGCCTTGCCGTGCCAGGCCGAGCGATTCGTTTCGCTGCTGCCTGTGCGCATAAATGAAATTTTATAAGCGCTTTATTACCAGCGCCTGTCCAACACCTGGTCCTTCCTGTTGCTTCGCAGTCCAAGCTGTCGCAGCTCTCTCACTCTCTCTCTCTCTCTCTCTCTCTCTCTCTCTCTCTCTCTCTCTTTCTCTCCCTCGCACTCTCTCTCTCCCTCTGTCTATATATATTTATATATCTCCCTCGCACTGTCACTCTCTCTGGCCATGGCAGCGTCCAACAAAGGACTGTCCCATGCTGCTCGTTTTTAGCTCTTGCTCAGCGGGATATGCCAATCATTTTATTGCATTTATTTGTGTGCACTTTGCCATTGTCAGGCTGCCGCCGCAGTCCCCCTCTCAGCTGCCCTCCCTTTGGCTGTTTGTGTGCGCATTAAACGAAATGAAAATCGCCGCGCATTGCGAGGCGTTAAGAGCACCCAACCGACGTGCCAAATTCCACTTTATTACGAAAAAAACACAAACACAAAAAACAAAAAACAAAAACCGAAAAAGAAACACGAAAAACAAGCAACGCGCTGACAGCGACACCTTTTCAATTTCAATTTGGTTTCATTCCATTTAATACTTCGACAAGCAATGGCCCTCGTCCGCCCCCGCACGGCAGAAGGCCACGGCTCCAGCCAAATAACTCAAAGGCAGTCAAAGCTCTGTTGTCCCCGCTAGGCGCTTTATTGAAAATTGAAGATGACCCAAACGCGACCAACAGCAGCGGCGGCCTTCAAGCATTGCGCATACGCGACGTTGTACCTGTATTCCTTATGGCTGTGCTCATTAGCCGACGATCGCATATGCAACGCATTAAGCCGCTTTGAGGCATGCAATATGCGGCACATAAATATGCAATAATTACACAAGCTGCTGACGCTTAAATGCTTAACAAATAATTGTCCACAATATTCCACACATGTTTGTCACATATTGCATATATATTTATGCTATATTTATGTATATATTTTCATAGCTGCAATCGTTGCCATCGATAAAGTTTAAATTAATTAAATTTGCAATATGAATGCAGTCGCTTAAACATTGCAGCGGAAATTGTCAGCAAATTGCCCGAGCGAAAGCTGCTCGCCCCATTTGCGAATGTACACTGGAAAAAAATTAGTGCCAACAGCAACTTTTATGCTCACAGGCATTTCAGTATAGAATTTTTTATAGATTATTCATGTTTTTTTTTTTTTTTTTTTTAATTATTTAATTACATAATTATCCTTTGTTAACCATGAATGAGTATCACACAGTCGTTTACACTTTGCTTCCTTTCATTGATTTCTATTGAAATATTGAAAAATTCAACTGTAAAGAATGTCAACCAGCAACAACAAGAACAACAAAAACAGCAATCATTCACCATTAGCTTTGATGCTCCGTTAAAATATGCTTTGTGCTGCACGCAATTAATTTKATCAATTATTATTATTTTTATTTCGCTGCTGCATATTCCAGCTCAAAGGCATTCCAATGTTGAGTGCTTAAAAGCTTAAGTAATGCGAAACTTGTCGCGTTGCCTTTGCTTTTGGCTTTGCCTTTGCTCGGTGTTTTGAGTTCCGATTTAAATATCTGGTATTTGTCATTAATAAACCCAAACCTCTGGCATATGCAATCGACTACTTAATTTGAGCAATTTTTCGACTGCAAGGCCAGCCACCATGTCGTATGCGTATTGTTAATTGTATTTGTCAATGAGTTGACAACACAGGTCGACCGCAGTATGTGGTGCAGTTGATGAAGCTATTGTAGATATACAAACAAAATGCCTCGCTTTATTTGTGGCAACAAAACCAATGCTATTCGACAAGCAAATTATTGTACAGCTAAAACACACACACACGTGCACACACACACACGCACACACACAATCATACACAAAGCCTTGCTGCTGGCATTTGGAAATATTAATGGCGTTGCGTCAACACACAGACTACTAATGTGCCGCGAGGGCTGCCAAATGGCAAACACTTCCGGCTGAGTTCGGCTGCCACCAGCCTTGCTGCTGCCCTCCGTCCCTCCGTCCCTCCGTCCGTCCATTCATTCGTCCGTTTGGCCGTTTGTCCGTTCGTCCCTTCGTTCGCTCGTTCGTTTGTTCAGGTGAAGTCGCGTAAGTATGTTGGTTATTTGGGTGCCTGCCGACCTGGTTGGTCGCTCGGTGAGTGCGCACTTATGCACTCATAAAATATTAACAAATTCATTCGTTACTTTGCCCAAAACTCTCGCAACTCTGGCAGAACAAAGACGATTACCGACTCAGGGGCCAGCCAGCGCCAGCCCAGGTAGCAGATGTCCTGCTCCAGCTGCTGCTCCTGCTTCTGCTCCTGCCCACACCATGCATATAAAAGTGTCTCGCTAAAGGAAGACCGTACGGTGTACAAAATACGGCTACAATTGCACACTCAGCATACGAATTACAGCGTAAAAGCGAAAAAGCACTTTTTTTTAGTGTAAATGAAGTCAAGAGAACGATGCGACTACTGCGAGCCAGCCAGTCAAGACAGCCAGACATCGGACAGATGCCGAAGCAGACCAACACCAAGTAGAAGTGTGAGTCCGATTCCGAGAGACCTAACTCGGAAAACAAAACCAAACAAAGTGCGACAGCAATCAAGAGGCAAAGCCAAAGCACAAATAGACAAAAACACAAAACACACACACAATGAAAAAACAATAAGCACTGTAGTCTGTAGTCCACTCCAAGGTGTGACTATATCTGTGTGTGTGTGTGTATTATAATGGCCCTTTCGGCCCTGGCGACGCTGTCGACATTGTGCAAATGGCTGCCGGCCGGACGCGCGCCATTTGTTGGCTGCCATGCCGGGATTAAGTTTGTGCCCAACTTATAACAAACTATAGACACAACTCTCATATAAATTGATAGGCACACGCACAGCTGCCGCTCCACACTGCTCAGTGCAGTATGGCTCCCCAGTCTGGGCTCCGCTCTCGCTGCTATTGCTGCTATCTGGGGAATTTTGCGTAAATTAATTTTTGCTATACAAATTATTACAAAATATTTTGCATGAGCAACGCCAGCAGCAGCAGCAGCAGCATACGCATAAAAGTATTTACGATAAATGCAAACAAATATTTCAGCAGTACAGGCAGACAGAGAGCGATAGACAGAGGCAGTCACATGTGCCTCTGCCGGAATACGTATACGCCATGTGTCAGTGGGCAAAGTTTAGCATTAAGTGATTCAGTGTCCAGGGTGCGCCAAATTAATTATGCAAGAAAGTTTCTGTTGATGAACTGACTCGAGATGAAGTGCGCACCAGCTGTCAATATAATGTGGTCACATATTTGCAGGCCGACAGTTGCTTTTTTTAGCTCAATTAATATCACCTGAGCAGCCAGAGTCGCTGGCGCATCAGTTACCTGTCCATGTCTCAGGCTGAAGTGGACATAATCTTGGTATATTATTTTCATTATATACTCCATTTGTTGTTGGCCGAAGTGACTTAACCCATTCTGACACACTCACAAATCCTGACAGACACTTCTACAAGTCATTTTTGGGTTTTCGGGCAAAGTTTACTGACTCGAACTTCTTTTTTTTTTTTTTTTTTTTTTTTTTTTTTTGCTGTGGTATTTCTACGGTGCTCAGCTGTGCGTGCACTTTTTACAGTTTTTTGTTCTTTGTGGCCAGCAAGTTAATAATGATTTGTTGTCGCTGCTGTTGTTGTTGTTGTTGTTGTTGCTGCTGTTGCTATTACTGTTGGTGTTGCTGCCACTGGTCAGGCTGGTAATTAAAACTTTAAGATACTTTTTGAGTTGGGGCCCAGGCCCAAAGCCACGAAAGCCACTGCCTCAGCAGGCGCAGCTGCAGCCCACTTCAAAGGCGCTGAGATGATAGGCAAAGTTGGTCCCAACATTTTGGGCTAGCAGAGCTGGGATCTGTCTCTCTCCCTTTCTCTCGAGTCGGCTCCACATTAATCTTTATTACAAGTGTTTGTCACACATACATATATATAAATATGAATATATATTTATTATATATAGAGAGAGTAGAGTCGCATGTGGAAAAATGAAAGAAGCGTTTGTCACTGCTGACAGACAGCCTTTTATTTTACAATTTATTATATTTTCAAGCCTTATTTTTTTGTAAAATCATTTAATCCATTAGGCAAACAATAAACGGCTGAGTAAGCATATTATTTAACAATCAAGCATAAGCAACCCGGCGCGATGTCATCCACTTTCCATGTAACCAACGCACCTCCGCCCCCTTCTCCCCCCACCCACATGGCTCGTGACACAACTGCGCAAAATGATAAAATGTTCTATATAATTTATTAAAATAATGTAAAAAGGGACCAGTGCTTGCTTGGGGCTGGCCATGTCCTAGTGGTCCCAGCATGACTTGACAGCAAATTGAATAAAAATCTAATCGAAATTGAAATCGTAATCGTAATCGCAATCGCAATCGCAATCGCAATTGAAAACGAATATGAAACCGGAAGCAAATGTGTTTACTCCGTTCCGGCGGCGTGTTTTGTTGCAGTCGTCTATTTGCAAGTGAGCCGCAGGTGTTATGACTATTGAGGCCATGGGAAACAAATGACATGGATGGAAACTTCGGTTCCGGGTCGAGGTTCGAGGGCAACAGATAAACTACAAAAAATAGATAAAAAACGATACCGAAACAAGCGCAAACTTTTGTGGGCAATGCATTTTATGGCGAGTCATTTGCTAGTAAATCACCAAAGGCAGACGACATTGATAAAGTTGCAGTTACATTTTAGTATGTAAATATTTGCCAGTACTTATTGCTGTGTCTCAGTCCCGAAAGGCGTGGGTGGAATGTGAGGCTATGGAGTGGGGAATCCAACTTTACTTTTACAGCTTGTAGAACAGCATTTATATCTGTATCTGTATTTGTCGAACACACACACACACATATACATATATATAAATTGCATCTATACACATTTGGCAACACATGTTGTGTATGTACAGGAGGAACGTGAACAAATATTCTCTATCCCCCACACAAGCTGAACGGAGCTGCTGCTCCCTCGGCACAACTTTCGCCACTAAATTCATGCATTGCCATTCGTTTTAACGTTTTAACATTGTGTTTTATTTGTGCTGTTTTTGTTCTTGTGCTTTGCAGCCATGTCTCACCTTGATAAATTACGTTTATGGGGCAAGCCGATACGTGTCATGGCCAGCAAACATCAGGCCGTGCAACTGCCCAAGGAGGGACAGCCGGACGCGGGGCTCACGCGTGACTATTCACAGAATCCATTGCACCGTTTCAAGAAGCCCGGCAGCAAGAACTATCAGAACATCTACCCGCCATCGGCGACACTGCATTTAAGTAACATTCCGTAAGTATCCTTTGTATAGCATCGCAACTAACGCCTGAAGCCATCCAGCGTCCTGCGCAGCGCAGCGCACAGCTGGAGTTGGTTTTTTCATCAGCCACGCTACGCGGGCAATTACAATTACCGCTATGAGCGGCAGCACCAACCAACTCGAAGCCCCCCAAACCCGTCGCTCATTCACAGCCCCAGCCCCCCCACTGCCAGAGTCGCATTCACAGTCGCAGCCATTGTGAGAGGCGAACGCCCCGCGACGCTTTGTCTGCCAAATATGACAAAGCGCCCCACCAGGTTTTTGTCTGTGTGCTCCACAAGAGGGGGGCAAACGAGGCGGAGAGACGACTACCGTTTGAATTTATATGCTTATGGCCATGCCTGTAGCTTTGCCTCTGCCGCTGCCTCTGCCTCTGGCTGGGGTTGTGTTTATGCCCGCTGTTTGGGCAGATGGGCGTGGGGTGGCAGGAGTGTTTATGCGATATCTATAGACGCACAGCATGAGAATTTAAATCGATAGGTGTTAATTTAGCGAACGAACGTTCTTTCTCTTGCATATTACAGCTCATCCTGCACCGAGGATGACATCAAAGAAGCCTTCACCTCCAACAATTTTGAAGTTAAAGCATTCAAATTTTTCCCGTAAGTTCATCTTAATAATTATCAAAATTGCGAAAATTCGTATCTAATTGAATGCGTATACATTTACAGCAAGGACCGCAAAATGGCGCTGCTGCAACTGTCGTCGGTGGAGGAGGCCGTCCTGGCGCTGATCAAAATGCACAATCATCAGCTGTCCGAGTCGAACCATTTGCGCGTGAGCTTCTCCAAGTCGAACATCTAGAATCCGACCCGCGGTCAGGTTCACTGAACTTGACTAAGTGCCAACATCAGCCTTGCACTACGGCATCAGTTCTATTGGCAGCAGCAACAGATACAATCTATTATTCGTAGTACAAGCGGCATGCAAGGCAATCGCCACCACAGCCACTTCAACTGAGAAGCGAGCCCAACCAATCCACAATACAAACCACCCAGCCCATCAAACACAGCAGCAACAATCGATGCAAAAGAGCTATAGCTACTTATATACAACAAAATCTAATATCTAAATACTGTTCTCATTATATAAAAAAAAAAAAAAGCAAACACAATATGCATAGCACTAATTACTGAAATTCAAAAACTAAATAAACAAAACTTTACAATGAATGCATGTACTATATACATATATATATAAATATTGTATATGCATCATGATGAATACAATTTCGAAATTCACGCGTAAACGAATCAGAACATTCAACAAAATACCACAAAGGAGAATGGGGAAACACACACAAAAACAAAATAACAAAAAAAGAGCCCACTAAACAATCAGCGACGTCGTATAATCATAAGCTTAAAGTTAAATCTTAACTGTAGTCCATAAGTAAGTTGCATTGCATAGAGAGAGGAGGAGAAACAAAGCGAACTTAGAATTAACTTAATTGCACTGTACTGTGTTTTGGTTTTAAGTAACGGCAGAGAGTCAAATCATGCAAACAAACAAAAGGAAACTAAAATTTAAAAAAAAAAAAAAAACAAGAAAACAAAATTTATGTTAAAAAATGAAGTAAGCGAAAACAAAACAAACATTGTTTTATTATGTATGAGTATTTACTGTTATTATTATATTTTAAGTGAAGCAACAACTTTCATTGATAACTGGTAACCCTAATTTTTTACACTGAAATTGCATGAGCGCATTTTAGCAGTTTTTAGACGATTATCATTTTGTAAGCGGTAGGTACGAATCGAATAAACTAAAATGTTAATTATAGAGCAAGAAAAACAAACAATATCCCATCAGTCTTTAAGTGTAATTGAAATGTATTTAATTCTAATTGAATAAAGAGCATCTACCGCATATAAATTGAGTCGATCTGTTCGTTTGTTTAGCATTAACATAAAAAGAGAGAAAAACATAAATTAATGTTAATACTTTTAAAAGCAGTTAAACAAAAAAAAGAAAAAAAAAAAAAAAAACAATGTAAAATGCGTACGTAAAACCTTCTGTGTGTGTGTGTATTTGTAAATGTTGTTAAATTATCAAAATATATGTATGTAAACAGAAAGAAAAAAGTTAAGCAAAAAAGAATTATATATATATACTGTATAGTGGATATACATACATATATATAGGTATATGTTGAACTAAAACAAAAACATGAAACAGGAAGTAAAACAAATTTTAAGCTATGAAAGTAAAATCTCAAAAAAATCATAATTATATTTAGACTTAAGCATACCAACATGAAAGACATATAAGTGTTTTTAGCGAAGCAAATACAAACAAAACAAAACAAAAAAAAAAAAAGAGAAAAAAAGAAAAAGAAATAAAAACTCAATGATTTTTTGATAATTTTACAAAAAGAACCCCAACACAACCATCAAAGAAAAAGGAAAAAAAAAAAAAGAAAACACACACACACAAGCAGACAGGCACAACTAACTATACACACATCAATGTTTATATATATTTAGAAAGTGAAATTATTTATACGTTGGCGCAAAAGAACAAAAACACAAAACAAAAGAAAAAAGAAAATAAAAAAATATTGATTAATAAACTAATTGTAACTGTAACTGAATGATATGGAGTTAGCTAATAAGTATAAGTAGCAGTGATCGTAATTTAAAATTAACAATTAACTGAAATGGTAAATTTGAAGCATAAAACGTGTACGAAAAGCAACAGTAAAATAATGTCAAATGTAAAATTTAAATTACATACGGTATTTACAATTATCACAAGAAAGTCGCAAGCTGCAGCTGCTAATTACCTATGGAGAATTAGAACCTACATACATATTCCATAAATATGGTTGAGTACGGTTTAAGCTAGGGACAAATTTGCATGTGTGTCTGAGTTCCTTCGAAGCTCTAACAACAGAAACAAAATGAGAATAGAAACATACTTTAGCCATAGACTAAGTACACGCACACACACACATACACACACACATACGCACATGAACCACCACATATTTCTCATGTAACTCCAATGCTTAAAGTACATTTTTAAACAAACTCTAGCGTTTCATGTATACATTCTATCCTAATCTTAACTAATCTAAAAACTAACTTATATATACATATACAAATATGCTCTATGTCTATGCCTATGTCTATGTCTATTATATAA